CGTTCCTGAGCCTGCACGGACCATTGCCACTGTGTCCTGCAGGAGGTGGTGTTGGAAGTGGCTTGGAAACGAGGAGAGAGGGCTGGTACTGGAAAGGGAGCTTCCCTTCCCTCCTCCTGGAAAACAAAGCGAGCCTTAAACCCTTTCCTGCTGGAGCCTGCCCTGCTGGACGCTCAGGGCACCGTAGTGAGCGGAGTGCCATTCCCACAGAGCCAAGACGTGTCCCTTTGTCCCTGATTTCTGCAGAGCGAGCCTGGAAAATGCAGCAAGGCCCCAGCAGCCGCCTCTGCAGGCAGGGACCCCACAGCACTGGCATTTTCCCGGGCTGGCAGCCGGCCCCTACCCACCGGTTATCCCAGTTTAGAAGCAGGGAGTTACTTCACTCATCTCCAACCAGCGCTTCTCCCTGCCCCCGTGCTCCAATCCTGCTGATTCCTCCTCTGCTGTGGGGTGGGGGAGGCAGGAGCCAGCCTGTCTGGGGACAGCATGGGGCTGTCCCTGTGTCACAGGGCACAGGAGCACCTCTGGTAGCAGGTAGGCCTGCTTTGGGCTGGGAAGGGGAGGCTGAGTTGCTCTGGCAGTGGCTCATCTCAGCAGGGTTGGCTCGTTCACATGTCTTTGGGTTTCCGTGGTTTATTTTTTTAAAGCCGGGGTTTGTTTTTTAATCAGCAAAGCCCTTTTGTGTAGCTTTCCAAATAAAGCCTGAAAAACCCTCCTCTCCCCCATCCATCACTCTTCTGCCCTCCCAGAGCTTTCTCACTGTGGAAAAATGTGTCCCACAGCAGCCCCAGGGCCAGGGGGGAGCCAGTGCTGGGGTTCTGCATCTCGGGGGTAAAAAGGGGCAGGGGGAGGCAAGGGCTGGCCCCGAGCATTGGAAGGAGCAAGGACAAAAAGGGCTGTCGTGGTTCAGCAGGGAGAGGGCAGAGTTTTCCAAGCCAGGCAAGGAAAATCCAAGCTCCAGCCTTGCTTTTCCCGGCTTTGGAGGTAGCAGAAGGAGCAGCTCCCTTTTAGGGAGAGGGATTTGCCTTTCCAGGTGCCGTCGGCAGGAAACCTCGTCAGGCCACGCTGCTAGATGAATATAACCTTTTAATTTTGACAAAAACCAAGTACAAAACCGAGGCCGATTCTCTCTTCTCCCCGTTGCAGGGATCTCTGCGGCGGTGGCGCGGGGCTGGTGCGGGCAGGGCGGTGGCCCCGGGGGCCACCCGAGGGTCCCACCCGGGGGTGCGAGGCCGGGGGCAGGGGCTGCCCGGGGGCAGGGGCTGCCCGGGGGCAGGGGCTGCCAGGGCACGGCGCTGGGGGCTGCGGCCCCGGGGCGGGGGCTGCGGCGGGGCTGGCGGGCGGATGCTCCTCAATAAATACCAATGGATCGGCGTTGGCGCTGGGCCGGGGGGAGCGGAGACGGAGGTCCCGGCTGGGGAGGGCTGGGGGCGGCACGGGAGAGCCTAGCTGATGATCTGCCGGGGCCGGCCGTAGCTCATCCCCGCCTGTGACGCTCCCTTGTTGGTGCCCATCTGTAGCCCGATGATGTTCTTGCCCTCCTTCAGCTGGCTCTCGGTGAACTCCCGCTTGTGCTCCTGCGCTTTCCTGCGGGGCACAAGGAGAGGCCGTGGGGCACCCGCACCCCCGGCTGCCCGGGAGCCCCCCGCGATCCCCAGGAGTGTTCCATCCGCCCTCCCTCCCTCCCCAGCTGAAAGTTTGGCATCCCGATTCCGCGTGCTCCGGGGCACTCCTGGGCACAGCAAAAAGCCAGCTTTGAGCAGCCGCAGGACGAGAGAGTCCCCGTGGCCAGCTCTGCACTCCCCCGCTTACTTCATGAACCAGTTGGGGTCCCCGTGGTAGTTCCCGTCGTTCTTGGTGACTGCCAGGCTCCCCAGGGCCATCAGCGTCCTCTGCACCGCTGCCATGTCCTTGGCTGCCCAGGGAGAGAGGGGCGTGAGGATGGGCACAGCACAGCCACCCTGGGACCCCCAGCCCCGACTGCCCCGCACCTTCAAACAGGTCCACGGTCTGGAAGATGTCTGTCTTGACCACACCGTAGTCCTCGGCCGCCTTCAGGAACTGGGCGATCTGTTCCATCTGCTTGAAGACCATGGTGGGAGGCGCGTCGGGGATCTTGACGGGCTTGGAGCCGTCGGGGTAGAGGCTGTTCACCAGCCTGCTGAGCACCTGCCGCAGAGGGGAGCCTGGGCTTGCTGCACTGCCCTCGGATCTCCCCGTGACACAGAGGGGAGCCTCCTTTGCTGCCCTCAGATCTCCCTGTGCTGCCCTCGGATTTCCCTGTGCTGCCCTCGGAGCTCCCCGTGACACAGAGGGGAGCCTTCTTTGCTGCCCCCGGATCTCCCCGTGCTGCCCCCGGATCTCCCCCGTGCTGCCCTCGGATCTCCCTGTGCTGCCCTCGGATCTCCCTGTGCTGCCCTCGGAATTCCTCGTGCTGCCCTCGGAGCCCCCCGTGCTGCCCCCCGAGCCCCCCGTGCTGCCCCCCGGAGCCCCCCAGGGCCGCCCACCCCCGGCCCCACTTACGATGCCGTTCTTCAGCCAGACCTGGAAGCCCAGGCGGCCCCGCTCGGGGCGCCCCACGGCAGCCCCGCACTGCGCCACGATCCACTCCACCAGCCGGTCCTCCAGCTCGTCATCGTACTTCTTCTCGATCTTGGACTGCACGTCCCTGCTCATGCCGTAGGCGGGCCCTTTGTTCGCCATGGCTGCGGTGGTGGGAGACCTGGTGGCACGACAGGGACAGTCAGGCTGTGGAGATGCTGTCCCCTACCCAGGGACCCCGCAGACACCACTGTGACATTTGCCTGCCACTCTGCTGCAGTGGGGACAAGCCCTTCCGACTCTTCCCTCTCCAGGCAACAGCCCGTCAGCTCCATCCTGGTGTGTTTGGAGGAAAATTCGCCACCGTGACCTCCAAAAAGTGCCCAGACAGGCGCTCGGTGTCCTGGCAGAGATGTCTCATCCCCAGCTCGGACTGCACAGGAGCAGCCTCGCCCCTGTCCCTTGCCAGCTCTTGGTTGGCATGGATGTCCCGGGTGTGACCCATGCCAGGACGCGGGGGGCAGGGTGGCCACGTCAAGGCTGTGGCACGGTAGGGTGGCCGTGGCACAGCAGGGTGGCCATGGGACGGCCTTGGCACGGCGGGAGCAGCGGGAGCCGTGCCCGTGCCCTTGTAAGGACATGCTGCGGGCACTGATGGCAGGTAGCCGGCTGCAGGCAGGCCCCGAGGCTGCCAGGGAGGATGCCAAGGAAGATGCCAGCAGGGAGAGGCTCTGGGAGTGGCAGCCAAGCCTTTGGTGGAGCTGGCGTCGCTCCTCCCTGCCCGGCTCCTTGCTTGGCAGGACGCCTCCGGGTGTCTCCGGAGCCGTGCGGATGTCCCACATCACGGACGGCCTCCAGCGGGCTCCTGCTGACCGCTGGGCACCCCGGCTGCTGCGGGCTGGGCTCAGACCTGGCACAGCTGCCAGCAATGCAGCGGTGCCCCCCGAGCCCCGCGATGCGTGAGGTGATACCCCAGGAGACCCACGGGCAGCCCGGACCCCGTCATGGGCACATCCCGTGGTGCTGCAGATGCCCCGGAGCCAGTCCCGCTCCACGCCCTGGCCCGAGCTGGCTCGGAGGGGTCACCCACGGCCACATGGCACTGCCAGCCCCGAGCCCATCGCCTGTCCCCGCCGAGCACGGGGCAGAAACGGGCGCTGGGGGCTGGGGTTGCCCCTCCATCGCTGCCCTGAGCCCCGCACGGCCCCTCCGGCTACCGCGGGGACCCGCGGCTGTGCAGCCCGCCGGGAGCGCAGTCCTGAGGGGAGCAGCAGGACAGAACCCCGGCAGTGCCCCCAGCCCGAGCAGGGGAGCCCGACCCTCCTCCGGGGAGCCGCATCCCCATCCCGGGGAGCAGCATCCCTATCCCGGGGAGCAGAATCCCCATCCCGGGGAGCAGAATCCATATCCCGGGGAGCGGAATCCCCATCCCGGAGAGCAGCATCCCTATCCCGGGGAGCAGAATCCCTCTCATCCGGGGAGCCGCAGATCGCAGTCCCGGAGCGGCTTCTCTACCCCAGGTACAGGGTCCCCATCCCGGGGAGCAGCACCCCCGTGCCGGGGGCTGGCGTTCCCACCCCGGGGACCCTCCCTGCCGCCCCCCTACCCCGCGGCCGGACTTACAAGCGGCTGCGGACGGAGCGAGGGCGATGCTCGGCGAGGGACCAGCGCACTGCCCGGGGGGACCCCGACCTTGTGCTAAAAGGCGGGCGGCGGGACGGTGATGTCAGCGGGGCGCGGAGCCCGGCCCCCCCCCCAAACCCTCCCTCCCGGGGCGCCCGGCCCCGCAGCGCTCCATGACTCCATCCCAGGCACCATATTTGGGGAAAGACTCCGAAAAACAGCGACGAAAGCCCGTGCTCGAGCATTCCCCGCGTTCCTCCGCCCCAGCGGGGCCGGGGCCAGGGCGGAACCGGGCCGGGGGCTGATGGAGTAAATCCTTTTATAGCCAGGCGGCAGCGCCGAGGGCTCCTGCTCTGACTTCATGGCTGGTTTTCCCGTGCGCTCACCGCCGGGAGCCGGGGCGGCCGCGCAGGGTCCCCCCGCGGGGATGCTGCGGGGGCGCGGGTGACACCCACGGTGTCCGCTCGGGGCTGCCGGGACCGGCAGCGAGGCTGCGGCATCCCGCGGGCACCGCGCCTGGGCAGCCCGCACATCCCGGGATTCCCTCTGCCCCGCGGGCACCAGCTGCAGCCCTGGCACCGCGCTGCCAGCACGTCCCGGCCCCCAGGGAACTTTGCGGTCCGCGAAGTGGGACCCCCCTGGGCACCCCTTACCCACCCGTGGGGCTGCCAGTTCCCCCCGTGACCCCCAGGCCACCCCCACCCTCCCCACACGCGCTCTCCAGGGCAGCATTTCCCAGCCCCTGCAGCACCTCCCCTCTCCCAAAATCCCGTGGGGAGAAGGGACATGGGGGGCAGCTGCCCCACGGGACCCTGGCAGGGGGCAGCAGGCACGGGCAAAGTGCAGACACTTTAATGCGAGTCCCTTCCCAGCAGATCCACGCGTGGGGAGCGCGGCACCTCGGCGGGGAGTGACGGGGCCCACTGTGGCCACCCCTCCTGGGACACCGGAGGGGACACGAGCAGGGCCTCTCCGGCCACTGCCACCACCGTGCTGGCCCCACGCACCCCCACCTCCCACCCACTCGACTCAGGCACTGAAGAGAGACCCACACCCACGTGCTCGGGGGGCCACGGGGCTGCTGGCACGGCGCTGGCCCCGGTCCCCCCACTGTGCCCACGGGCACACGGACACGGAGCAGCAGCAGCAGCACCTTTTCCAGTGTCACCTGACACAGAGGACGGATGCTCTGGTGGCCCCCCAGCCCCGTTTTTGGCTGTGACGGGCCCAGGGATGGGACCCGGCTGACGGGGAGGAGGCAAACCAGGACCCCAGGGCTGTGTGGGGAGGGGGACAGAGTGGCTGGCAGGACCTGCAGCGCAGACATCCCTCCCCAGGGGTGGGTGCCCCTCCCGGGGCTGCAGCCGGGCGTTTGGCACAGTCCCAGGGCAGCGGTGGCTGCAGGCTCCTAGAAAACGTAGATCTTGTCCCGCTGGACACAGTCCAGGTCATCATCCAGCGTCAGCAGCACCTGTGGAGCGAGGGGAGTGAGGGGAGCAGGGCGCTGGTGACCTGGGGACAGTGGCTGCTGTGACAGTGGAACCAGCACCTACCAGGAAGGAGCCGAACATGGCGATGGAGGAGAGGAAATGCCAGATGTCGTGGTCGTCAAAGAAGTCGAGCAGGATGCAGTCACGGTTGTGCTCCCGGGATTCAGCTGGTGTTTTCTGCCGGGCACAGGGCCAGCGTCACTGTGCTGCCCATGGCCACCCTGCCTGCCCCGCTGCCTGTGCCACCCTCCTGCTCACCTGCCAGGTGCTGAGCCCCTGGAAGAAGAAGAAGAGGGCGAAGCCCCAGACCACGGAGGTGCTGATGATGCAGAGCAGGGGGATGAGCTTGATGCGCTCGCCACTGCGGAGCTGCGGGAGAGGCCGGGGTCACCGTGTGGGCAGCAGCTGGCAGCAGTGCCCACCCCTGTCCTGCCCTGCCCTCTGGGCCCGTGGGGGCCGAGGGCTGAACTCCCACCTTCATGATAATGTAGAAGGCGAAGTAGAGGAGGAGGTTGCAGATGCCGATGGCCAGCAGGTAGGAAGCAAAATCATTGGGGCGGACAATGAGGCCGTAGGCAGCGCTGGGGAGGCAGAGACAGGCAGTGGGGTCAGCCTGGGGGTCCCCCTGCCATGCCCACTGTCCCCAAAGCATGTCTGCAGCCCCCAAGGAGATCAAGCAGCACGTGGGGACTCCGGGGTGCCACAGCTGCAGGGGGACCTGCCATGCTGGGCTCACAGCTGCCATGAGCTGCCAGTCCTCGGCCCAGCCCCACGGAGGGACAGCAGAGGGGTGGGGGTGGCAGCAGGGATGGGGAGAAGCAGGGTGGGATCTGCCACGTGCCCAGCTCTGCACTCACAGTGACCAGTTGATGATGTTCCCCATGACCAGGAGCACCATTCGGTCCTGCAGAAGAGGAGGGGGCTGTGAGGGGCGGCAGGCAGCAGCTCAGGGGGGGCTGCCAGGGAGGGTCTCTGCAGAGCCGGGGGCCCCCGTGGCAGCACTCACCACGTACATGGGCCCGCTGCACTGCCGCACGCAGTCCGTGTACAGCACGTGCAGGATCCTGCGCAGGATGCCCGAGTCTGCGGGGAGAGGGGAGGTGACAACTCCTCCTGGGGGGCCACCACATTGTCCCCTCCCACCTCCCTCCCGGTGCCCCCCCTCACCCAGCTTCCAGCGCCCCATGTAGTACAGCTGGGTGCTCAGCAGCAGCGTGGCCACGATGTGGATGACGGAGAAGACGATCCAGAAGGCCGTGTTCCCCTTCCCAAAGACCTGCAGGGAGAGCGGGGGGCGGGCAGTGAGCCGTGGGGACAAGCAGCCCCCCTCCCCGAGTGCCCACCGCACTCACCACGCCCACCACGGAGAAGAAGATGACGAGGGCCAGGCAGGCGTAGGCGCTGTAGGCGCTGGCGTTGATGTCCGGGTGGCGCTTCTGGTAGAGCTTCAGCATGCAGAGCCCCGCGATCATGTACATGAAGGAGGTGTCTGGGGGGGCACGGCGGTGAGAGGGGCGTGGGTGGCCCCGCTGGGGGTGGGGAGGGACCGGGGGGGGCACTCACCAAACTGGAAATTGGTGTAGTTGGGGCAGACGTGGTAGCAGGCGCTGAGCAGCCCCTCCATCATGAGGGCGGTGCCCATGGCGTAGAAGAGCCCAAAGTGCTTGGGGATGCCACACTCCTGCGGGGCAGAGGAGAGGGAGGGAAGGGAAGTGGGGGGTCCTGAGCCCCACCAGGCAGCTGCAGCCCCCCAGGCAGCCCTGTCCCTCACCAGGGCGTGGGCGTCGTTGCGCAGCAGCGCGCGGTTGTAGTTGATCTCGCGCTGCAGGATGATCAGCAGGAAGAGCAAACCCAGCAGCACGTAGCCCAGGTTGCTCAGGATGTTGTTGAAGGCGCTGCAAGGGGCCAGTCCCAGTGTGGGTGCTGTGAACCCCCTCCCTCCCTGCGGTCCTGCTGCAGCCCAGCCCTGGGCACAGGGGACCCCCAGCCAGCCTCCACCGTCCCCCCAGCCCACCTGAGGTTCCCCAGCGGGTGGGCGCACAAGAAGTTGTAGTAGCAGATGTCCTGGTTGCCGGTGACATTCACCACCTGTGGGCACGAGCAGGGTGAGGCACACAGGGGGCTCCCAGGGCGCAGAGTTTGGGACTGCAGCCCCCAGAGCTCCCAGGAGCCCCTCACTGGCCACACTCACCGTCTGGTAGGTGATGACGAGCTGGATGACAGGGAGGGCGTAGAAGACAGCGATGGTGGCGATGTTCCTGGGAGAGAGTGGGGCTGTCAGGGGGTCCCTGCTGTGCACCCCAGGCTGGGACACTGCTGGGTGCCCCCCTGCCCACTGCCTCCCACTCACCAGAAATAAATCTGGTACTTCTTCCGCAGCACTCGCTTGTCCTTACGCGCCAGGTCGGCCACGCACAGGTATTGCTGGAGGGAGAGGGGGGTCAGGGGCCTGCCTGACCAGCGGGGACACGCTGGGGACTGGGGGGACACGCACCTTGGTGCGGATGACGTTCTTGTCATAGTCGATGTCGGCCAGCGTGTCGTAGTCGTCCTCCTCCACAGAGCTGAGCGAGTCCAGGCGCGGCCGGCTGGCCACGTTCTCCAGGGACCGCTCCCCTGCGGCCGAGCCGGGGCCATCAGCACAGCCCCCGGGCCAGCCCACCCCCGCAACCCCAATCAGCCCCAATTAACCACTGGGCTGCCTCCCTCGCTGCCAACTCACACTGGGGACAGGTTTCAGCTCCCTACAGCCCTGCCCTGGGACAGGCGGTGGCTGTGCCCACGCGGGCAAGCACTGCCCCGTGCCTGTTCCCCGGGGTCTGCCATGCTGGGGAGCACCGAGGGCCAGGGGGACAATGTCCTGCTCTGCAGGTGCTGCCCTGAGGGAGGGGAGCGGGGGTTCTGTGCCCTGGGCACAGCCTGGGGCTGGGCAGATTTCGCCCTGATTGGCCCGACCCTGCCCGGTACCAGCATCTACCCATGGGAATGCTCAGCGGCCTCGTCGGGGCGGAGGGCGTGCGCCGCTTGAACTGCTCCTGCCCTTCAAAGGAAAGCCAGAGTTACTGAAGCAGAGCTCCCTGAGGTGTGCCACAGGTGGAAACCCCGCTGGGGGCTGCACGGAGGGGCCAGCAGCCCCAGGACCCTTCCCGGAGATGGAGGGGACAGAGCCAGGAGGGCACCGGGCACGAGGCTCCGCAGGGCTGCGGCCACACCGGCGGCCCAACAACTCACCCACGTAACTGTAGGAGACTTCTGCTGAGCCCAGGCTGTCTGTGATGCCCTCGGTGCTGCTGGAGGAGCCGTTCCCTGCAAGGACAAGGACAGGCAGAGGGTGGGCACGGCCCACGGGCAGGAGGTGAGGGACAGGGGACAGCGTGTGGCACTCACCGAAGGAGCCGTAACCGTAGCTGTCGTAGGGGCCGTGGTTCAGGAAGGAGTCGGGGATGCTGCGGGAGTGACCTGGGGGACAACAGCGTCCCTGTCACGCTCTGTGGCACCCCTGTCCCAGGGCTGCACGGCCACCGGGCACAAAGCAGCTCCCACCATCCCTGCCCTGGCACGGAGTGAGCTCAGAGCCAAGGACAGAGCTGGCACCTACCCAGGAGTGACGCTGGGAGTCCCCGGAAAGCCACGAGAAGAAAGATATAGACCTGGTGAGATGGAAAGCCCCAGCACAGCCCTGCCAGCCCCACAGCTGGGACCTCCCTGTCCCCTGACACTGGGATTTATCCCCAGGGACTCAGGGGGATACTGCTGAGAGGCAGAGGCTTTGCCACAGGCTCACAAGCGGGCAGAACAATGAGGAATTCCCCAGGCAGACCCCTCCATGCTGCTGGCTGCTGCCTCCAGCCCTCACCTGTGTCCAGGCTGGGAGAATCCATGGCTGCCAGGAGCCCCTTCCTCTTGTGCTGCCTGCCGAGGGAAGGGCCTGTCAGCCCGTTTGTGCCACTGCTGGGGCGAGGGGACACGGCCCCAGGGCCCCCAGCAGGGCTGTGCCCAGGGGCTCAGCACCCAGAGGGGCAGTGGCACCCGGGCACTCACCGGCAGCTCTCCCAGCAGGCGATGAGCAGCGTGAGGATGTAGAAGGAGAGGAAGATGCCGAGGCAGAAGAGAACACTGCGCACGTAGGCCTCGGCTGTGCAGAGCCAGGACAGGCCCTCAGTGGGGGTGGCACCTCAGGGACCCTGTCGTGGGTCCCCAGAGAGCCCAGCACCCCCAGGACCCCCAGCACCCCCAGACTCACAGGTGATGGCAGGTGACACCATCACCTCCAGGGTCTTCTGCCGGTTGTGCTGATCCACGGGCTCATCTGGAAGAAGGCAGGGACAGGGCTCAGCTCTCTGCCCTGTCCCCAGCTTGTCCCCACACACAGCCCACGGTGTCAGCCCCGCTGCAAACCTGGAGAGGCGTTCTTGGAGAGGGGGTAGTAGGGCAGAGCCCCCCCGCACGCCTCGTCCTCCGTCTTCACCACCACCACCACATAGAAGCTGTGGCTGGGGAAATCCTTCTTCTGCAGCAAGAGACGGGGGTCAGCAGAGCCCACCAGGGGGTCTCCCATGCCAGAGGTTATCCCAGGGACATCCTTTGCGGGCTCTGGCAGCACCAGGCAGGGACTGGGCACAGCTCAGCCCGGTGGCACAGCCCCATGGCACAGCCCCGTGCCCACCTGCACCGTGATGGCCGCCTTCTTCGTCATGGTCTGGTACATCCCGATGAAGGCCACGTTGTTGTCCAGGTCGTAGACGGGGCACTGCAGGGGCAGAGGGGCCGTCAGCCCCGCCGGACACCACGGGTCACCCAGAGAGGAGACCACTGCCCAGACCTACCAGGATGTCCTGGATGGAGATGACGGAGCAGGGGAAGGCCATGGCTGAGGTCACCTTCACGATCACCGAGTCCACTTCCTCGGGGAACTCGTACTTGAAGTACTGTGGGGAGAAAGGGCCCGTTGCTGCCACGGGGGCCACGCTCCCCTCCTCTCCTGGCTGCAGACCCCCCGTGCCACGCCGTGCTGGCTGCCTCACCTGCGGCTGGGCGGCCGTGGCATTGAAGCTGAACCTTTCATTGGTCCTGCAGAGAGCACAGGAAAGGAGATGGGTGGCGAGGGGGGTCCACAGCCCCTGCAGCCCCCACAGGCAGCAGGCAGGGAAGGGGAGAAGGGCGCGGGGCTCCCCTCACCGCAGCACAAAGTTCTCCACGCGGGTGACCCGCAGCTGGTAGGAGGTGTTGAGGGAGAGCGTGGAGACATCCACGTAGAAGTGCTGGGTCTCCACCTCGGCCTTGGTCTGCGGCTGGCAGAGCGTGCGGCTCACCTCCTGGTACGCGTATTTCCGCTGGTACCTGGGCAGGGAGAGCCCAGGTGAGCCCAGGTGTGTGCCCAGCAGCCCCTCCCAGGGACTCCTGTGTGGGGCATCCCAGCCTGGGGAACTCCTGAGTGGGGCATCCCAGCCTGGGGAACTCCTGCGTGGGGCATCCCAGCCTGGGGAACTCCTGCGTGGGGCATCCCAGCCTGGGGAACTCCTGAGTGGTGAATCCCAGCCTGGGGAACTCCTGAGTGGTGAATCCCAGCCTGGGGAGCTCCTGAGTGGTGAATCCCAGTCTGGGGAGCTCCTGAGTGCTGAATCCCAGCCTGGGGAGCTCCTGTTTGGTAATCCCAGCCTGGGGAACTGCATGGCAAGTCCCTGCCCGCCCCCCGGTACTCACAGGCCCCGGAGGATGAGCGGCACCTGGAAGGAGACCACCGCCTCCTTCTGCCTCACCACGAAGAGGACGGGCTGGTCCTTCTGGTCCGAGAGGACATTGACCGACACCCGCACGCCCTCGGTCTGCAGGGACAGGGGCAGGTGAGGTGTTGGCCGGGCAGCTCGGGCCGCGGCGGCTCGAAGCGAAGGCCGGACTTTGCTCGGCCGCCGTGGCAGGGCTGCCGTGCCCCGCGCACCCCGCGCCGCCCCGGGGACGCGGAGCCCGCGGGGGTCGCGGCGGGGGTGCCCACCCCGGCTCACCCTGTTCCTGCGGACGCTGTGGTTGAAGGCGTAGATGTTGAGCAGGTTGGCGTGCACCCAGTCGCTGTAGGTGGTGTTGAACTGCGCTTCCTTCTCGTGCACCTCGCGGTCCCCGTGGGGCAGGGGCTGGGGCCGGACGGGCGGCGGGGGCAGCAGCGCCCCGGCCAGCAGCGCCCAGGCCAGCACGGCCGCCCCGGCGCCCGACATCCCGCCAGCATCCCCGGCCAAGGTCCGCGGGGCGGGACGGCACGGACGGGACGGGAAGGGACGGGTCGGGACGGGACGGACGGACGGACGGACGGGGCGCTCAGCCGGGGCGCGCCCGGGCGCGCTGCCCCATGGCCGGGCCGGAGCGGTGCCGGGGCGGTGCGGGCGCTGTGGCGGGGCGCGGAGCCGCTCCCGGGGCCGGTCCCGGTGCCGGTCCCGGTGCCGGTTCCCTCTCCCCTTCCCGTTCCGCACCGCGGTAAACACGGACCGGCGGTGACGTCAGGCCCGGCGAGCTCTGAGCGCCCGGCCGGGGAAGTGACGCGGCGGGCGGGGCGGGGGGACCGGCCCGAACCTGGGGACCGGGCCGAACACGGGGGGACCGACCCGAAACTGGGGGGACCGACCCGAGCCTGGGGACCGACCCGAGCCCCGGGGGGACCGGCCCGAACCTGGGGACCGGGCCGAGCCCCGGGGGGACCGGTCCGAACCTGGGGACCGGCCCCAACCTGGGGACCGACCCGAGCCCGGGAACAGACCCGAACCCAGGGGACCTGTCCGAATCTGGGGACCGACCCGAACCCGGGGGGACCGACCCGAGCCTGGGGACCGGCCCAAACACGGGGGGACTGACCCGAGCCCCGGGGGGACCGACCCCAACCTGGGGACCGACCCGAGCCCGGGGGGACCGGCCCGAACCTCGGACAGACCCGAACCCGGGGACCGACCCGAACCCGGGGCGATCGACACGAACCTGGGGACCGACCCGAACCTGGGCGGACCGGCCCTAGCCTGGGGAACCGACCCGAGCTTGGGGGACCGGCCCGAACCCGGGGACCTGCCCGAGCCCGGAGGGACCGGCCCGAACCCGGAGGGACCGGCCCGAACCCGGGGACCGGCTTGGCCGGTAACCCCTGTCCCGGGCACCGAGCTCCGTGCGCGACCCCGCGGGGGAAGCCCGGCTCCATAGGGAACCACGCAGAGGATGCCCTGTCCTATAGAGCAGACCCTGTCCCATGTAAAACCCCGTAAGGGAGCCCTGCTCCATAGGGACCACATAGGGGAAGCCCGGCTGTATAGGGGAGCCCCATGGCCGTATAGCACCCTGGCTCCAAAGGGGAGCCCGTGCTCCACATGGGGTCCTGTGGAACCGCACAGAAAAAGCCCTGCTCTGTAGGGCAGATCCTGCCCCATATGGAACGCTGTAGGGCAGCCTTGTCCTGTATAGCCCCTGCTCCATAGGGGACCCCACGTGGAGCCCCTGCCCCAACAGGGAAACCATGCAACACTCCAGACACCCACCCAAGCCCCTTGCCACCTCCCTGCCCCCTAAAGTCCCTGAAGACATGGAAATATCCTGTCAGGGAAGGGGTGGGTCTGCCCCGTCCCCTTCTCCAGCTGCTCTCTGGATTCCTACTGGGGTTCCTGCAGCCCCTCTCGTTTGTTGCACCCTTCACCACCAGAGATGGAATAATTCAAAGTAACTTGGGAGTTTTCCCATGCTTGGGGGAAGTAGGAGTGATGCCACACTGCAGTTTTGGTGTGTCTCCCAAAACACCCCCCCATCCCAGCTCTAGCTGAGCCTCCCGCTTCCAGGCCTCTCTCCAACAGCTCTGTGACCTTTCTATCACATTTTATTTGCCTGAGGTTGGGGGTTTTGATTTAAAATCGCCCTCCAAAGGGGCTCAGCCCCGTGTCACTTCCTGGGCTGGCTCTGACATCCAGGACTGCTGCCACCAGCTTCCTGCTCTGCTCCACGGGACAAACGCCACGAGACAAGGCACTGCTGCTATTGTGCACTTTATTTCTCCGGGCCCTCCTGTCCCTGAGGATCCCACAGTTCGGACAGTCTGCCCGCGGTTTCCAGGTGCAGGTGGTGGCGCTGGCGGCAGATGGGACAACCTCAGGGACAGACATGCGGGAAGAGAAGCAGAATTCCGGCCGACTCCTCGGCCCTGGTGGAACTCGAGTCGCCTCTTGCAGGATGGCTGTGAGCGGGATTGCGTGGGGATGTGCATTCCCTGTCTGTTCCAGGGCTATTTGAGATAAATCACTCGGGAATCCAACGCAAGCCGATGTCCTGTCGAGGGCCAAAATAAACCAGTCCCCTTCACCTGCAGCACCGTGCTCACAGGTTTGGGTGCAGCACCCAGATCTGCACGGGGAAAGGAGGAAAAACAGACAAAACCAGCCCCAAACGGAGTGGGAGAAAGCGGGAATTAAACGAGGAGCAAGGATCTGGCTGAGCACAACTCCCAGAGCCGGGGAGGACCCGCAGTGGGAGCTTTGGCAGCACCTGCCTGGCCCCATGGAGACCTCCAGGAGTGACCGAGACAGGGCAGGAGACGGCTGGGCACACACACACACACACAGGCTGCGACACGGTGGGTGAAACATTGACATTTATATCGAAATATGCACTAACAGTGACTTCTACCAGCCGATGCATTTTTGCCAAAGCAGAATCACAAAGGTTGTGTCCCGGGGAAGGCTCGGGGCGGTGGGTGGGCAGCGAGGGGAGGTATGGGGGCCTCCCTGCTCCTGCCTCGCCCTCCCCCAGCACCTCACAAGACTCTGTCATTTCACATCTTTTGTTTGTTTTCCTCTCCGCTGCATAAACACGAAACTGGACACGCTCACTCAGAGCGGGCCACAACTCCAGCCCAGCCCCGTCCCGAGGGACATCCAGAGCTGGAACTGAAGTTTTCTCACAGGAGGCACTCGGATTTCAGCACGGGGTGAGCAGGAGGCAGATCTCCTCTTGCCCACGACACCTCTCAGGTGAGCAGGGCAGTTTCCTGCCAGGCAGCAACAAGCAGAGCCAAGAGCACTGAACCAGCACAGAGCACCTCAGCAAGCCAAGCCTAAGCAGAGCCAGCAGAGCCTCCCCGGTGACGCCGGAGCCTGCCAAATTCCCCGGGCCACTCGGCACCCTGCCCACGGGGCTGGCTCACAGCGAGCACAGGGTGCCCAGCGAAGCCAGAGCTTTACTGCAGAGTACATTCCTGGTTAGCATCTCTTCAGCCAAATGCAGCAGCAGCAGCAGCAGCAGGGAGGGAAGGGAGCAGGGATGCAGAGATTAAACAAGCACACGGCCTTTTCTCACAAGCCTGGAGACGGAAAGCTCTCAGGGAGCAAGAACAGGTTTTAGCCCGGCTCCCTGAGGGGGCTGGGGATGGGATAAACCCTTCCCCAGGAACTCTCCACTGCACTGCACTTTTAATATCTGATTTTCCACTTGCCCTTCCCCAGTACTTCCAGCCAGAAGCTTACGGGAAGCATGAGCAGTGTTCTCTCAAAGCCTGCCCTGCAAGGCCATGGACTGCAGGGAGCAGCACCCCTGGTCTGGATCATGGGGGCAGGATGTGATCCCTCCTCTCCCATGGCACTCTGCAGCTCCCTGTGTCTGATCCTGGCCAGGGGAATGCTTCACCTTTCCTTCATCTGTGTGTAGATCACATATACTGGAAACAAAACACACACTATGCATGCAATCCAGGCAGGAATCCTGCTATGATCAAACCTACAGGAGGAGGGGGACGAGGTGGGACGTTAGGGGATTCCTCAACGCTAGGTCAGAGTTACACACCAGCCCCTTGGCTACAGCAAAGGGCAGACAGACTATGTACAGTACCTACGGGCTTCAGCAAAGCCACCTGACACCTGAACACCCCTCCCTTGGAGCACGGAGTGAAGCTCTCTGTTCCTCCCAGGTTTACCTGCCTGGCATCCCGCGGGAAGCACAAACCCAGCGTGGCACCACTGAGCTCCAGCTCCGGCAGGTAAGGCAGGGAGGAACAGATTTGGTTTAAAATAGGTTATTTGCAAGTTATCAATTCATCTAGGGCTCTGCTTCTCGGGTCCAAACTGTTTCTTTCTGGAAGAGAAGCTCTCAGTTTGAAATGAAAAGTTGTTTTGCTACAACCAGCCCTCTGAAGTACAAACCAAACCAAAACCCCACTGAGCCACAGCCCTTTAGGAGGGCAGCTGCCCCTCTGGCTCCCTTGCTGGAGGTGAGGAACAGTGTCCAGGGCAGGAGAAGCTACGCCTTAACTCCACTTTTTACTCTAAGAGGCTGTAGTTGCTCAAATAAAATGTTTATACAAGTAAACCAGTAGTGATAAGGAAATATACACCTTGCTATCTGTAAAGCTTCAGAGTGATTTAGGCCTTGCAGCCAGGGGCTCTTCATGTGGGTTTGCTTTAGAAAAAAAAAAAGGATGTAACAGTCATACTTAATAAAAAAATAGAAAAAAAAAAAACCTGCGAAGAGCCCGGGCACCTCAGAAGGATGTCTGTCAGTTCCAGAGGAGTGAGGAAGTGACTGCCAATTACTGGATCATTAAAATCCTACACTGAGCAACTGCTAAAAGCCAGCAACATCACGGGCAGCAGGAGCAGGGGCCAGCAGCAGCACCCAAATGGGAGCACTCCCAGGAGAGCTGCGTGGGAGGAAGGGAAGGTGCCCCCGGGAGAGCTGCGTGGGAGGGAAGGTGCCCCCGCTAGCAGGACTGGGGAAACGAGCACAAGACAAGCACTGGGGAGTGTTACACGAGTTCAGGTAACTGTTTGCTTCTTTAAATTTCTGAATTCCAGTTTCAAGCTGCTTCAGAAAGGAGTGAGAAAGCAACGCGTGTCATTTAACCCCCCTCAGTAAAACAAACAAACAACAAACAAACAAACAAAAAAAAAAAACCCAAACAGAAAAACCCAAAATCGCCTAGAAGGTGGAACCGAGTTTGGAAAAATGCATCTGTTCTGGCTTTTGCAAGTGGAATGTGATTCTTGTTCCCAGGCAAATACACAGAGCACGATGGCTGCAGCCAGGAACGGTGAGCCAGGAGCGGGCTGTCGGACAGGCTACAAGGGGTCTAGGACAACCACAGGGCAACAAGACATGAGAGGGGCACAGAGTGACAGTCCTGTTCTCGTTTTAAATGAGGAACGGTTTAAAAGTAAAACTCTTCTTCAGCTAATTTCCTCCTGCAATAAAACCAACCCAGCCGGCCCTCGTATGTACAAGACCAGTTAAACATGAGCCTTCCCCCTCAAAACACTAGGTACGGACACCCGGTAACATTCTACAATGGAAAGTGCTTTAAGAAAGAAGGATTCTGTAGTGCCAGTGACAGAACTGATCTGATGGGCTGGATGATGCTCTCCACGCTGACGGCAGCGACTCAGGCCAGGGCAGCTCGTTTCTCCTCGGGGGTCTCCTCCAGCAGCTGCATGATCAGTTCGTGGAGGGGCTTGCAGACCTTGGCGTAGCCCCCGCCCGTCAGGTGCAG